TGGTTGGAGTTGGACTATATGGTGATCTCCTGCTTGTGCTTGGTGGATGTTGGTCTTCTGACCATATTGAGTCAGCAAGGATCTTCTGCAGGTTTGTGTGTCTTATGTCATGTTCTTTGAGTTTTTTCTTGTCCTGGAAGACCCTTATTTCTCCTTATATCTTAATAGATAATTTGGCAGGGTAGGTGCTTTTTTTGGGCCAGTGTTTTTTCTTTCAGCTGTTGGAATATGTTATTCCACTCTATCCGCCTCTTTATGGTTTCTGCTGATAGGTATGAGTATATTCATACCTGAGAACTATTGTATGTGACCATTTTCTTTTCTCTTGCTGCTCTTAAAATTTTCCCTTTTTCCTTGAAGCTGGATAATTTATTATATACCTTGATGAGTTCTTGCTGGGTTTTCCTCTAATTGGTGTCCTCTCTGCTTCCTGTATGATTGTCTGATTCTCATTCATAATGTGGGAAAGTTTGCTTCCACAAATTCCCTTGCTAATTTAGTTGTTGACTTCTTCGTGTTCCTATTCATAGCCTATGTCATTGATCTCTGGTTTTCTTCCACCTCTTTTATTACCTGTTTGACTGTCTTTTTCATTTGCTGAAGTCTGCCTGGTTGTCTTCCAGATCACTGATACGATTTTCAGCCTCCTCTTGTCTATTCGTGAGATCTGTGATCCTGTGTGCAGCTTCTGTTACCTCTTCCATTAACTCCTGTGTTTCCCTTTGGTGGGTGGTCTTCATCTCCTCTATCATTGCTTCCTTATTCTGTGTTGGTTCCATCTCCTGTGTTATTCCAAGCAGTCTTCTGAAAATTTATTTTTGTGGCAGATCCACGTCTGATTCTTCTACGAGTGGAGTTAGCTCTGCTGTTGTGTTTTGTCTTTATTGTTTTCTTGTTGGGAGTATTGTGGTATGCTGTTGTTTATGTGACAATTTTGTCAAGCTTGGTGCCATGTTTCTGGGAGACCAAGGGACCCTGTGCTCTTTCTCTGTGTGACTTGTAAGGGAGTTTTTGAGGGCTGCCTGTGGTCTATTATGATGCTCGGTCAGACTGCTGTGTAGTCAAGGTGCAGTGGGACTCGGTGGTCAATGGCCATGAAGGGCCTTAGAGACTAGGGGGAGGCTGGTGACTGTATGTTTGCCCCTGGGCTGAACTGGTCTGGGCAGTCCATGATTTTCAGCCTTTTTTATTTGAAGTCATGTTATTGAGGGCTTGTACAATTCTTTTCACAATCCGTACATACATCTATTGTGTCAAGCACATTTGTATATTTGTTGCCATCATCATTCTCAAAACATTTGCTTTCCACTTGAGCCCTTGGTATCAGCTCCTCATTTTTCTCCTTCCTACCCGCTCCCCCCTCCCTCATGAATCCTTGATAATTTATAAATTATTATTTTGTCATATCTTACACTGTCCAACGTCTCCCTTCACCCACTTTTATGTTGTCCATCCCCCAGAGAGGAGTTTATATGTAGATCCTTATGATCGGTTCCCCCTTGCTACCCCACTTTCACTCAACCCTCCCAGTATTGCCACTCTCAACACTGGTATTCAGCGGTTTATCTGTCCTGGATTCCCTGTGTTTCCCTTTCCTATCTGTACCAGTGTGCATCCTTTGGTCTAGCCAGATTTGTAAGGTAGAGTTTGGATCATGATAGTGCTAGGGATGGGGGGAGCATTTAAGAGCTAGAGGAAAGTTGTATGTTTCAACATTGCTACACTGCACCTTGACTGGACATCCCCTTACATAAGGGTCGCAGGGAGGAGATGAACTAGCCTTTATTTTAAAAGGCACCTAATAGAAGAAAATGGTGGGGGAGGTCTTGCTGCCACAGGAGGGGGTGCTGAGCAATGATGGGAGCAACCCCTTTGCTGCTGGTGTAGGTGCTGGGTGAAAGCCTCCACAGGGTGGAGGTGCCCGGCACTGGTTGGGCTGCTATTGCTGCTATAGTTGAGGAGTCCCATATTGGCATGGGACAGTCTGCTGCTGTTGTGGGTGGTGGGAAGGGAAGTGCTCCAGGTACAGCGATGGCTGAAGGGGGTTAATTGGGCAGTGACTGCATTGGGGCCTGTAGCAGTATAGCAGACATGGGCCAGGGAGCCCCAGGGACCTGGTTGCTGATCCTCTGGGTTCCAGAGCAAGGCTAGATGTGCGGGAAGGATGCCTTCTAGACAAAAGATGTACTTTAAACAGTGGTCCTGGAGAGGTGCTACTGAGGAAGTGGTGAGTGCTATGTCCTGCAGGCACTGTAGACATGGCTGCTGCAGGGGTGTAGGACTCTTAGGCAATTGTGTGGATTGTCCTTGCATCTGCAAGTAATCAAATTTATAGCAGATGGACGAAAGGTCGGTCCTTGGGGTCCTGGGTGAGTAGTGGGAGGGACTAGAGCTTGGCAGTGGGACCACCACCAAGTGTAGATAGATGAACCATTGGATAAGGGGGTAGCTCCCCTAAGGGAGTGCTACAAGTGGACAGCTGCTGTGTGGTGGTCCAGCTGCCCCAGTGTGGGACTCAGCAGGGCAGCGCAGCCCGGCTGCCATGGGCTGGGAAATCCCTGGGATCATGTCACAGATATCTGGGGCTCAGGATTGAGGCAGACATGGGTGAGGAGTGTTTGTTGTCATGGGGGTGTTTTCACCTATCAGAATTATCCCACTCATCCTCTTGGACACAGATCTCACAGAGCTCCTAGTATGGGCTGCTTACCGGGGCACCATTTCAGGATTTTTTCTTAATAAACTCATGGGTTATAATCTCCAGTTATATTTCACATGTAGTTTGCTTTTTAAAACATACTTTGGATTAAGGTTTGTCTTCCCAGTACACTTTGAATTAGCTATGACATACAGTGTATTCTCTTTCTAGAATATTTTTTTTTAAAGTGACTTCCAGTAGTGTCAACCATTATTTGTCACTACACACCTTACTATGTTTGAACTATGTTGTGTCACTAGACATTGGCACTTTGCAAATATATGGTCCTAATTTCCAAAGTCTAGTGGCTCATTGCCTTAATGAGTTTGGTTATATCTAAGAAGTATCATAAATTTACATTCTCTATGCTCTGCCACTTTCATGGATACATTTGCAGCAAAAGTAAATATACAAATATCCTCTGCCTAAACTATAAATATTTGTGGGTATGCTCTTACTTTCCATTCCAAAACTGTTGAATCTGCATTTTTAATGATGTTTACTGCTGTTGTTATTATACATTAAGTCTCAATTTGTTCATTGTGGTTTCTTCTGTAACCTGCAAATCTCCTTTTTGTTTGTCCCAATAGTTTGTAACTTCTGTCTTTCATTGGGAGATACATGGTGTCTAAAGGCTTTAATTCAATTTCTGTCACTTTCTTGTTGAGTTCAGTCAGATTTGATATAGATTTAATTACTCCTTTTAAATCATTTTATTGGAGGCTCATACAACTGTTATCACAATCCATACGTACATCCGTTGTGTCAAGTACATTTGTACATATGTTTCCATCATCATTCTCAAAACATTTGCTTTCTACACGAGCCCTTGGTATTAGCTCCTCATTTTCCCCCTCCCTCTCTGCTCACCCCGCCCTCATCTTACTCTGTTCAATGTCTCCATTCACCCACTTTTCTGTTGTCTGTCCCCCAGAGAGGTGGTTATAAGTAGATCCTTGTAATCAGTTCCCCTTTCCACTCCACCCTCCACCCACCATCCTGGTATCGCCTCTCTCACCTCTGCTCCTGAAGGGATCACCCGCCCTGAATTCCCTGTGTTTCCAGTTCCTATCTGTACCAGTGTACATCCTCTGGTTTAGCCAGATTTGTAAGGTAGAATTGGGATCATGATAGTAGGGGCGGGGGGAGGAAGCATTTAAGGAGCTAGAGGAAAGTTGTATGTTTCATGGTTGCTACATGTCACCCTGACTGGCTCGTCTCTGCCCTGCAACCCTTCCTAAGGGGATGTCCAGTTGCCTACAGATGGGCTTTGGGTCTCTACTGCACAGTCTCCCTCATTCACAATGATGTGATTTTTTGTTCTGATGATGTATACCTGATCCCTTCGACACCTCGTGATCACACATGCTGGTGTGCTTCTTCCATGTGGGCTTCCTGGCTTCTGAGCTAGATTGCTGCTTGTTTACCTTCAGCCTTTAAAACCCCATACACTATCGCCAGGCACCATCACCTTTCTTTACCACATTGCTTATTACCCATTTGTGTTCAGCGATTGTATCGGAGATGTGAGCACACAATGATATAAGTTTTTCTTCTTTGTTGCCTGATAACTGATCCCTTCGGCACTTCGTGATTACTCAGCTTGGTGTGCTTCTTCCTTGTGGGCTTTGTTGCTTCTGTTTGTTGGTCTTTAGGAGTGTTTTCTGGTCAAGTCTGATGGGGTGCCACACCCTGGCCCCAAAGTCTGTCTTTAGTATTCCCTGGGGATTTCATAGCTCTGTTCCCTTGCTGTTCTGCTGGATGCTCTTAGTGTTTTGCCTTGGTTTGGTGGGGTCAGATTGGAAACAATTCCCATACTGTGTCTCCAGTGTTGCCTCCTATAGAGCTATGGGTCAGTGAGGGTTGTCATGTCTCATAGTGGGGTCAGCCATGTAGTCTTCTCTGTGGATTTGCTATATTGTCCTATAATGCTTTCAACCATGAGATATATCTTATTTGTCCATGTTGCCTTGCCCTTTCTTCATTTAATTTATCTTTTTTAATGATATTTCTAAAAATTGACATTTTTCTTTAACATTATACTTATTAATGAAAGTGAAAATTAAAAGTAGATTTGAAAATGTTGTAATCTTTATTTTAGAATGAAGAACAGCTCTTGCAAATTTATCATTTTTAAAAACAACCCATATACTGTTCCTAAATAAATATTTTGAATAGGAAATTTAATATTTTCTAGGTGCTTTAATTTTTTAAATGTGGGCAGCATATTATGCTTTACTTGAAAGTCATTGCACTTTAATCTTATTTTCCTATGGTTGACTGATGAATAATTTTTTTTCAGATGGTTGGAATCCATTTTCATACCCATATAAAAAACTGGATTTTGGAAAATGGGAGCTGTACATCCCACCCAAGCAGGATAAATCTGCAATTGTGCCTCATGGATCCAAGTTAAAGGTACTTTTCTCCACTTGCTATTTATTTGAATTTATTTTATTTTTATGTTCTTTGTAAATTTGTTCAGAATATTAGCATTATGACCCATCTACGACAGTTCTTGGAGAAACAGTCTAACTAGCCCCAAAGAGGAAAATTTTAAAGTGGGAAGGGCAAATGGGAATGTGTTCTATGAGAAAGATTTGGCTGGCAAGATGTTATCCTCATGAGTTTAGAACTTTATGTAGGGAAGAATTGAATAAGTAAATGTTTACATTGAAAAATAGATCATTCACTTAAAAAAAAGTAACATGAAAACTTTCACAAAATTAGCAAATCTAGAGATTAGTTCACCTATAAAGAGAGCCTTGCTAAAGCTGGTTTTGCCGTGAGCCACTTAACTGGAGATGGTATTGTCCTGGAAATTGACTTTTCAAGGCTTCCTTTTCTAGACTCTCTCCTTTCCTGGTTCCTTGATGTCCTGCGATAGTGTCACCTGTGTTAGCATGAGGACTTGCTCACTAAAAGCCAGCCTCATTTCCGAGCTCTCACAACGTTAGCTGTGGTTCCGCACTCAGGGTGTGGAGAGCAGGCACATCTGTCTCTCCTGTTTCCTAAACGGATGCCAGAGGGATGGTTCCTAAACTCTGGATTAGAATTGAGGACTTTCAGCCATGTGAGACCATCTTAATCTTTTAATATAATCTTGGTTTTTAGCTTATATAATTCTATATTATTTCCGTGTATCTTTCTGTCTCCCTTCCTTAGGCACGTAATAGCATTCATCATACATCCTGTGATCGAATAAACATTTTCTGATGCATTTGCTATATATCAATGCTAACTCAGGTTTGCCTAAATTGGATCTAAAACCAAAACGCATAATGTTTTAAAATAAATTAAAAAATCTATGTTTGTATGGAAATTACTAAAATGCTGCCATACATAATATAGTTACATAGGAGCATATTGTCTGAAATAAATAGACATGTTAACTTGGGTTGTCAGCCAAAGTTCTTTTTATTTTGTAGTGAACAAGTGAAAAGTACTGACAGTATAAAATAAGAGGGATTTAAAATTAATATACGCAACCCTTTTTTTATGTGTATATAAGTTCTGTGAGAGTTCGGACCGTTGTTCTTTGGACCTATGTTTGCTGTTACCGTATATTTCTATTCTTAGAGTAGGACCTCATACAGCTTAGCCGATTAGTAATCATTTATTGACTGGGACAGCTGTGCTCAGGTCTGGCCTTTGAAAGACCAAAACAAATTATTTGATACTTTCATGGCTTGTGTCATCTGATTTTATGGGATTGTTATAAAATTCATGGGAGAAAGATGAGGCTATCTAATCTTGTAAAGATTTACAACCTTGGAAATCCAAAGAGGCGGTTGTATTCTGTCCTGTAGTGTCATTATGAGTTAGAATCTACTTATAATGACAGTGGTTATAAAACAGTACTCTTCCCTCCCCACCTCCTTTGTGCTCACTCTCCATCCCACTCCCCCATACCCACCCTCTTTCTTTCTGACTTAAAAAACAACAAACTTAAACTTAAACTTAAATTTTTAAAGCATTAGAGAATTTTGTTCTGCCTTCTTCAATTAGACAGTTTTATGAATTTTAACACTTTACCTACTGATTGATTTAATGATGAGGATATTAATTTTGATATATTGTCTTTATATTTCAGGAAAAATAATGGAATACTAGTAATTAATTATTGTGTAGGTGCTGATATGTATTAGGGATTATAGTAGACCTTCAATTAGCCGATCTGACTTGAAGACTCAAATATTTTCTAGTGTGTCCTATGTACTATATTCTCTTTGACCAACTGAGGAGAAGTTAAGTTAGTGTGGCTCGTCTAACCATAATCTTTGTATCTTGTACCAGATGATTGGTGGAAATATGCAAATAAGCATGCATTGTATTCTAGCTTGGCAATTAGTCAGGTTTGTCATTCCAGTGGTCAGTTTTGTCATTCCAGTGGATATAAAGTTAAACTTCTCAAAAACAGGAAAGGAGACTCTCGCAACTTCTAAGAATTAAGATCCACAAGAGTGGAGCACACCTAAAATCCTTGTACAGAGTAGTGGAAGTGGTGGTGATAGCCCGGGACAAATGAGAGGGCTTCTAGCCCATGGAAAGGGTACAGTCCTTGCCATGGGGCTGAAGAGGGGCTTGCAGAATGGAGGACCCTCTGAGCATTATCAATCATTAAAGAGCTTTGGAACTTACCCAAGCCGTGCAGAGGCCATGTGCCCAGGAGACTGAGAGGCCAAGGATGAGAGAGATTTACCTACTAGTAGTGCTGCAGACAAAATAAAACAGTATCCGTAATGATTTTTTATCTTACCTTTTGTAGCCTGTTAACTTTCCTAATAAATCCCTTGTGAGTATTTCTGTGAGTTCTTTGTAGCAATTGGAATTGATTATGGAACTCAGCTAAGAAATAAAGTGCCATGTGGGAGGCCATGGGTATCAGAATGGTATAAAGAAGGCTGGTGGGTTGGCAGTCATGCCTGACTGCCTCATAGAAATCACCTTGGCTTGGTGAGGCGTTGTAATGTTCCTCTCAGTTGTGTATCTGAAGGAAGTTAGAGGTGCATTCCATGCTACTTTCCTACTAACTTTTATTTTATGTTAATGAGATGAAATAATCTGATACATTTTTTAAAATTTTTAAATTTTTATTTGACTTTTAAAATCCATGTTTAATAGCAGGTAAATACTTACCAGCTCACAGGTATCAGCTAAACTATTTGTATCTTTAAAAAAAAGGTCTTTATACTAGTGAAGATAATTAGAAATTACTTTCTAACTATTATTCATAATCTTTAGATGTTTTGAATGTTGATAAACAATTAGATGACATTATAATGATACAATTTTTATTTTTTTATGAGTCAGCAAACTTTCATTGGGAGGAGGGTTAAATTATCTATAAAAATCAACTAACTTCAGGTTTTTGGCCTTTCAATTTGAAGTTGTCCCTAGGTAAGTCTGTTTTGGTAATTAAAAATCTTTTTTAAAATTGAACTTGAAGATTTATTTCAGTCCACAAGGGATTGACCTTTATAACTCACTTGAGGATGTCTCTCTTATGAATTATCCCGTAACCATTAACAACAACAAAAAAAGAGCTATAACCTACCATTGAAATTATAGCTTTGTTTTCTCTGTAAAACATCTGGACTCTTTAACTGAACACTTTGGAAAAAGAGCATATTTAATAATATTTTTACACAGTTATACAATGATACAATCACCCCCATGGTATGATCAGTAGTCAGCCATTTGTAAAGTGTGGCATCTGTCACAATGATTTAAGAGTTGGGGGAGGACTATGTCAATCCATTAATAATTTGCATGGTAAAGGTGATTTATTTTCTAAATTTTTAATCAGGAGATGGGTATAATGAGTGTTTGGATGGGTGTGCATACACATATGCTGGAGACAGGCTGTCTACCTTTGTGCACTGGGCATCTCTTAGACACAGGCAAAGATAGATGCTAAGACACATGGAGGTCTCTAAGGGATGTCAGGCTCACGGATGCTAAAAGGAGACAAGGACCTTCCTTCAGAGATTACAACTGGTATCCTGAATACAGACTTTTAACTTCCTAAACTGTGAGAAAATACCTATCAGTTTTTGACAATTCCTCTTGTTGAGAGTTTCCCTCTTTGTTACTCTTTATTTTGCCAATGATAATGTCCTTTACCAGGACTGGTCTCTACTGATAATAGGTTCAGAGAAAGTGAGTTGAAGCCTCACGATCTTTGCTTCTAACGTGTATGTGGGAGTTGCATAATTTCATGTCAACTTGAAAACTAGTTTATAGGGGTGCATTCTAGGCCTGAGTCAGGTAACAGCCTGATTGATGCCTCATTGTGGGCATGGGCTTCTTATGATTATTCGGGAAGTTTTTCTCTCTTCCTCCTTGGAGGTGGAACACACTCTCTGCTTTGTCTTCCTGTTCACAAGCTACATGGAGCCACTCTGATGGTAGCCAGAGCCCTAGAGATACTTCCACTGACACTGGATCCGCAAGACTTTCTACCCACTGGCCTATCATCTTGCTGCATTCCGCATCATTGCATGTGCTGTGTGAATCTGAAGAGGAATTTATGGACTAGTATCAGAGATATGGGCCAATATCAGACTTATTGACTTGATCTGGATTGTGCTGGCATGTTTTCTTATATACTATTGCTCTTTGATGTAAAGCTCTCTCTTACACACATATGACTGTCTCTGGATTTGTTTATCTAGTCAACTGGAGCTAACACAGTGTATTTTAGATGTATTTCTTCCAAGAAAGATTTGTTCATTTTTCTGCCAGTCCTTCAACATTCTTTGTTAGAATAATAATATATTCATCAATAAATCTTTGATCTTTCTTATTCATTGTTCTTCTTTGACATTTATTTACCATGCTTTCAAAGCACCATTTCGATTTCTTTTACAGCAGATTTGCCCAATGCAATATGCTATTTGATTTAACTTCCTTCCATGCATACATGAGCAATTGGTGGTCTGTCTTTTCCACAGTTGGTCCCTGGCCTTGCTCTGCATGTTAGTACTGAGTTTCTCCATTGTGTCCTTTCACATTCATAGTTAACTTGGTTCCTATGTATGATATCTGGCTATATATATCTATATATCCTGTTTATGTAGTTGAGACAGATATTTGCAGTGATAAACCACTGTGCAATCCTTGTAAAAATCTATCCTGATATCTTCTTTACATCACCAAGGACTTAATTACCAACTGTTGATTTTCTTTATTTTTTTTCAGTTGTCTCATCCCAATCACCAGTAATTATCAATGAATCTTGATTGCACTTTTGATCAGTTTCAGAATGCAGAATTTGGCAAAATATCCTCAATTTCTTCATCGTTGGCTTTAGTGGTTGATGTTTAAATTTTAATAGTGGTTACATTAACTATTCTTTATAGATATTTGGCATTATTTTATCATGGATAGTTATATTTTATGCTAGACTTTAAAAT